GATAAAAATCCAATCCCCCCCCCCCCCTCCTCCAAACCTTGGCGCCCCCCCCCCCCACCAGTAACACTTCTGTTTCCTCTGGATTAAGTTTCAGTTTGTTGGCTCCCATTCCTTCCAAAACTGCCTCCAGGCACCAGATTTTTAAAAACCTTTATTAAGGATTAAGACAAAATCCATTACCAATTAGCCAGGAAAGGTGGCACAGATATTTTTTTAAAAAATCCAACCACGGGATCTACAACATTCTTTGATAGCAACAATTTCCATCTAGGTAAGCAATGAAAAAACATTTATCACATGAAACATTTTCTGGCTTTGCCTTCAGGGGGTTATTAGGGAAGGCACTGGCCGCATGAGATGCCTTGGGGATCCTGCCCACCACGTCCCCGGCCTCCCCCCCACCCCGGGATCTGCTGGAGGCACAAGGTAGAGCTGAGAGTCGTCTGCATGTCGGAGGCAGCTCAGCCCCCATCTCCGGATGCCCCCCCTCCCGGCAGTTTTACACACATGATGAAAGCACGGTGTGTGTGTGGGGGGGACAAGACAGAGCTTTGGGGAGCCCCAGAGGCCAAGGGGCAGAGCAGCAGGCGCTCGGCACCACACGCTGAAACGGACCCTCGAGGGAGGACGGGAACCACTACAGAAGGGTCCCTGCCCAGAGAGGTGGTCCAGAGGGACGCTGTGTGAGGGATGGTATTGAAAGCCCCCAAGAGGTCAATCCCCAGGACGGTTCTCACTTTGTCCGCCTCCTGGCACAGGTCCTCCGCCCGGACAGCCAAGGCCCTTGCAGCCCCACCACCAGGCCTGAAGCCAACGGACCCAGACGATCTGCTTCATGAGCTGTTGTGCTTCTCGAAAACAGGGTGCCCACTGGAAGCAGCCCCCTCCCCTTTCACATCAGTTTTGTTCGATGAAAGGATCCTGACCCGGGTAGCCAAGGCAAGCCCGGTCTCATAGAATGTTAGAGATGGAAAGGACCTTGCAGGTCATCTAGTCCAACCCCCTGCACTCTGCAGGAGCATAGCCGAAAGACAGCCCTGCAACACACCCGAAAGATGGTCATCCAGCCTCCGCTTGGAAACGTCCAGCGAAGGAGCCTCCACCATCTCCCGAGGCAGACTGTTCCACTGCTCAACCACTCTTCCAGTCAGGAAGTTTCTCCTGATATTTAGCTGGTAACGACTCCCTTGCAATTTCCACTCTTGAGATCTAGTCTTGCAATCCAGAGCAAGAGAGAATAGATCTGCTCCATCTTCTACATGACAGCCCTTCAGATACTTGAAGACTGCAATCATGCCCCCTCTAAGCCTTCTCTTTCCCAGACTAAACAGACCCAACTCTTTCAGCCTTTCCTCCTAAGACTTGGATTCCAACCCTCTCACCATCCTGGTTGCCCTCCTCTGGACACTCTCGAACTTGTCAACATCCTTCCTAAAATGTGGTGACCAAAACTGGACATGGGACTCCAGGTGAGGCCTGACCGTAGCAGAATAGAGCGGAACTACCACCTCCCGCGATCTGGACACAAGGCTTCTGTGAATGCATCCCAAGATTGCATTTGCTTTCTTCACAGCCACATCGCACTGCAGGCTCATGTTTAGCTTGTGATCAACCAGAACACCCAGATCCCTCTCACATGTGCTGCTGTCAAGCCAAGTCCCTCCCATCGTCAGATCTCGGGAGCCAAGCAGGGTCGACTCCGGCAAGTGCTTGGATGGGAGGCCTCCTTGGAAGACCAGCCGTCGGGAGGACAGGGGCAGGCTCTACTCAGCCGCCTCTCTGAATCTCCTCCAGGCCCCCAGCAGGGGTCAGTCACCAGAGGTCGCCATGACTTCCAGGTGCGGGCACACACACTCACACATGGTCATATGAAAACTACAAAGAAGAAGAAGAAGAAGAAGAAAGGATGTGGGCATTCTGGAGGGTTCTTTGGCTCGATGCAGAGGACAGAGTGGGGGAGGGCTGCCTCTGCAGACATCCCTTCCCTGGCCCAGGGCCTGCCGACACCCCTCCGCAGCCGCCTTTGTCTTTGGCATCGTGTCCCCTTTCGCCCCCTTTCATGTCCCCACGGCATGGCTGCGGCTTGCATTCAGCTTGGCAGTAGCAGAATCATGTCTTTGGCATCCTGCTTGAAGACGCATCTCGCGCCTTGAGAAAGGGGGACTCTTGTGGAAGACGTGGGCCCAGTTTTACCACTGGGGAAAATTCTGGGGTGGGGGCAGGTGAAGGAGCCCAAGGAGATGACCAGAAGGTGGAAGTTGCTGCCCCCTGCTGGAGGCTGTGTGGGATTGCAGCCTCCCCCCCCCCTCCTGCAATTTCAAACCATCCCTGTGCCCGGACTGACCGGGGAACGGGGTCCACCATCGGCCAAGTTTCAGAAGCGGACAGGTGTAGGCGGCCTGAGCGGCCCCAGAGAGCAGCCTCTTCACTCCTTTCTGTCTCCTTCAGGTCCGAGAGGGTGGGGGCAGGCCGTAGAAGAAGGTGGAAGAGGGGCTGGGGGGGGCGGGGAGGAGGGGTGTGGAATGGCTGCCTGGCAGGGTCCCCTGGGGGCAAGAGAGAGGCCAGGGGGTGAGAGGAGACCCTCTTCCAACAGGGCTTCCCTCCCGGGAAATGCTGATTGGTGAGTCTGAGTTCCCAGGGAGCAACACGTCGGGGTCAGTCTATTCATTCGCTTCATTTAGAGCCCCCCTTTCTCCATGTGCCTCAAGGCAGGTTACGAAATACAGGGAACCGTTCAGGCAGGCAGGCCGGTAAACAATGCAGCAGGATTAATTGTACAGAACTGGGAAACCATGTGAGTGGAGAACTGTCCCAAGGCATGCCCCGCCACACAAAATGCAGAGTGGGTTACTGAGGTAGGAGATGCATAGGAGTAAAAGCCAGGAGGTGCATAGGGGGAAACACTGCAACGGACTGCAATCCTGTTCTTTTCAAAAGCATCCTCCTCAGCTGTTCTAATACAGTTCTTCAATCCCTTCCTAAAAATGCACACACACACACCCCAACATTTCTCCAGAATGAGACACGTTGGGGGGGGGGCCTTCCCGGCCTCCTCGGGGGCAGGCCATTCCGCAAGGGGGAGCCACCACTGAGAAGGCGCGTTGTTGGTCTCGCCCACTTGCAGGGCCGCACCCCCAGCAGGCTTAGCTCCAGTGAGCAAAGATGTCATGGTGGACCCCAGCGGGGGAGGTGGTCCTGCTGGTTTGTGGGCTCTTTTCTTAACGCTCTTTCAGTCTGGAGACTCGTTTTAAGCTGTCTCTGGTCTGTTTCACGCCCTGTGTTTTTATGCTGAACTGGGTTCACACACACACACACACACACACACACACACAAAGCTGAGTTTCAATCAGTACCTTCTAATGTTTGGCTGTTATTATTTTTATGTTGTGTTGCCTCAGGCAGGTTTCTGGGCAGGCAGCATTTAAAAAATCCTAAATAAATGAATAAATGGGGGGGGGGACACACTCCCCAGGCAGGGAGCAAAGAAGCACAATGCCCTTCTGGACCCCCCCAGAGCTGTCCCTGCTGACAGGAGGCACTCTCGACTGGTCACGTAACCAGCACCGTCCAGCCTCATTGTGAGCTTTGGACACAGCAACGTAGAGTCAGGGAACACTGGCCCACGGATCACAACCGACTCCAAAGCAACCACTGACTCCACAGAGAATACGCTGCGGGGTAAGATGGAGCCCTGTGGCACTCCACCAGACAAGTCCCACAACGAGGACGGCTGGTCTTCGGCAGAGAGCCTCCGTGCCTGGTCCAGAAGGAACCAGTTGAACCAATCCAGGGCATTTGCCTACCTCTGCTTCCAAACACCTCTGCACGCCTCAGAGGCTGGAGGCTGGTGATAAATCCCGGCAGAGCAACAGAGAGGGCGGGGCGGGGCCCTTGTCTGCCCTTGCCACTGGAGGGGGAGGGGGGGCTGGCTCCGGGGTCGAGCCTCTGCTTGGCATGCAGAAGGTCCCAAGTCCAGTCCTCTTAAAGGGACCAGGTGGTGTGGAAGACTTCCACCCGAGACCCTGGGGAACTTTCAAGGGCTGAGCTGGGTGCGAATGGCGGATGGGCTGTGGAGCAGCTGGGAATGTGGAGAGGGAGAAGGTGGGGGCTGGGGCGAGCAAAGCCGCTGGAGTGCTTCCGCTGCTGCTCCTGCTGGGCCTTCCGGAATTACTGCAGGACTGCGTGGGGGGGGGGGGCGACACACACCCTCCCTGGGAAGACTCTCGGGCGTTGGCCTGCTGAGAGGCACTTGGGAGGGCGGTGTTCCTCAAATGCCACCTGAAGTTAACTTGGGCTCCTTCCCGCTTGTATTGGTCAGAGGTCACCACTGACTTGTTTTACACAACAGACCCCCTGAAATCTTCCCCCAGGCCCCCCCTGGGGGGGTAGATCTGGGGCCCTGCAGCCCCCGTGGACCTGACATTGCTCCGGGTGGTCCGGTCCTCCTCTCAGCTCTGGTGGAGCGGATCCCAGGGTGAGCAGCCGGGAGGGGAAGGAGCAGACTGCTGGTGCTGGGCGTGGCAGGAGCGGGAGAGGGGCTCCCTGCAGCTGCCCGCCCAAGTGCCCGCCTTGTCTCCTCAGGAGCTACCAGAGCATGAGCAGCCTCTTCAGCAGTCCGGTGTCCCCCACCAGGGAGGCCACCTCTTCGCTGCCCCGTCGGCCGAGCACACTCAGCAAGTCCCCGCTGCGCACCCTCTACGACCTGCTGATAGGGCCCATGGAAGGGGTGAGTCCTAAGTTGCCCCACCCTCTCTGGCCCTTCCATCCGGGGGGGGGGGGGCGTGCTCCCACACCGACCGTGGTTCTTTAAAGGGTTTGTGTCCTTGTTTCTCACAAAGATGCTCAGGGCTGCATTTAAGATGCCAGCCACAATTCTTCTGGCCACGGAACTGGGGTCACTGGGGTGTGTGTGTGTGTGGGAAATTTGTGAATTTCCTGCATTGTGCAGGGGGTTGATGACCCTGGAGGTCCCTTCCAACTCTATGATTCTCTGATTCTTGTAGGACACAAGCAGTTGCCCTCATCTCTTTGCAGGCTCTCTGATGATTTTAACAGGTGTCCTCGTTAGCAAGGAGCAAACTCCTGAGACCTGAAGGCCACGGTTGGGGGACGACCAGTTCTGGTTCTGGCTACGGGGGCACCGTGCTTCTGCTTCCTTTAGTTTACTACTTTAACCACATAAGAAGCGTTGCTTTAACTTTGTTAGCCTGTGCCATTTGACATGTTCACAAAATTTAAAGGCAGAGAAATGCCCCTTCCTTTTCCACAAGCAAGACTGTGACTCTGCTTAAGTAGTTCAGAGAGTGCCGCACACCATTCCTCCCTCTGCTACTTCAGGTTTGGCTTCCGAGGAGGAGGAAAAAGAAAAGGTGAGACTAGAAAGCTAACTTTGTAGTACAGACACGAGCGGGGGCGTCTGTCCCCAGGGAACATTTTCTTGCTAACGAGGACACCTGTTAAAATCCCCACCACAGAGGGAAGGAGGGAAAGCTGTGGGGCGGGGGGGCGGCTTTGGCCCTCCTGGGATCAGTTTCTAAGAAGGGCCCCCACCTGGAGTCTGCAGCTCTCTATGCTCGTGGGGGGGTTTTTTGGCTGCGGTGGGGACAGGAGAAGGAGAGCTCCAGAGAGGGGGGCCTACAGGCAGGGAGCCTTGTGCCCCCCCGGGGGGCAGCTGCCGAGGGGGGTGGGGGCTGTGTTGCTCTCCTGGAAGCCCTCCTCCCTCCGAGAGCCTGTCGTGTGTGTCCACTGAAAACGCCCCCCCCCCCATTCTCTCTCTCTCAGGGCCTGATGCATTCCAGTGGGCCTGTGGGCCGCCACCGGCAGCTCACCCTGGTTCTGGAAGGGGAGCTGTACCTCATCCCCTTTGCCCTCCTCAAGGGCAGCTCCTCCAACGAGTACCTCTACGAGCGCTTCAGCCTCATCGCCGTGCCCTCCCTCCAGGCCCTCAACCCCAGCTCCAAGGTAAGGCTCTCTTCTGTGTCCAGCGTGAGGTGTCGTTCTCGGGGGGCCTGCCCTCCTGCCCGCCCTCCACCCCACAGATCACTGACTGGCGTGCCCCCCGCTGGGAAGAGGCAGCCCCGCCGGCACGTTGTGTGTGTGTGTGTGGGGGGGGATCCCATCTCTTGACGTAGCTCCCCCGCAGGGGGGGGGGTGAGTTCCAGGGGGCGGCCACGCCAAGAGCCAGACGCGAGCCCAGAGCCACCCCGGAGAGACTCACAAGGCTTTTGGACTGTCCGCTTTTGAGCCTCGAAAGCCCCTCTGTCAGAGTCCTCCCTTTGAGTCTTAAGAAGGTGTGGCTGGATTCGAATCAAGCTCTTCCCCCCCTGGGGGTGCACAATGTGGTCTCCCCCACCCCAGGAAAAGGCTGAGGCCAGGTGCGAGGGAGGGCACCGTCTGTCTGGGCGGCAGTAGGCGCAGCAGCCCCTGGAGTCAGATCCCTGGATCAGTGGCCCAGCGCGGTCTTCTCTGACCCCAGGGGAGGCAAGCAAGCCTAGTGGTGTGGTTTTCCCCACTCTTGCAGAGCCAGTCGAAGAAGAACGCTGCCGTCTACAGCAGCTCTCCCTCCACGGCCGCCGTCATCGGCAACCCCAAGCTGCCCTCCTCGGTGATGGACCGCTGGCTGTGGGGGCCCATGCCCTCAGCCGAGGAGGAGGCCCTCGCCGTGTCGGAGCTCCTGGGCTGCCAGCCGCTGGTGGGCGGCCTGGCCACCAAGGAGCGGGTGATGAGCGCGCTGGCGCAGGCTGAGTGCGTGCACTTTGCCACTCACATCTCCTGGAAGCTGGCCGCTCTGGTCCTGACGCCCAACGCTGAGAGCATCGCGGCCGCCAGCAAGGGCTGCTTTGGGAACTCCTACACGATCCCTGAGTCCCTGCGCGTGCAAGACGACGCAAGCGACGTGGAGAGCCTTTCGGACTGCCCGCCCCTGCAGGAGTTCCTGCTCACCGCGGCCGACATCCTGGACTTGCGCCTGCCCGTCAAGCTGGTGGTCTTGGGCTCCTACCAGGAGTCCAACAGCAGGGTCACGGCGGACGGGGTGATCGGACTGACGCGCGCCTTCCTGGCGGCCGGGGCGCGGTGCGTCCTGGTCTCCCTGTGGCCCGTCCCGGTGGCGGCTTCCAAGCTGTTTGTGGAGGCCTTCTACTCGGCCCTGCTGAAAGGGCCGTGCTGGGGGCGGGGGCAGCGGGGACCAACCTCGGCCCCTTGGGTGGGGGTGGGGGGGCAGCATGCATCCCCTCTTTGCGGTCCACCCTTCCCCGGGCTGGGAGGGGCAAGGGACGCGGCAGGTGAGGCTCCTTCCCCTGTGGGAAGAGACCGGGACACGTCTGGGCGGGTGGAGGTGTGTGGTGGGGGTGGGGTGGGGCTAATGGGCTTCCTCCTGGCACCGTGGCCACCCAGCAGCTCCTGGCCTCGACGTGGGGACTCTGTCCGGGGACGCGGGCGGCTGAGGCTTCTCTTTCTCCCGCTGCAGGCTTCATGCTGATTGGGAGCGATGTGAAGCTCAACAGCCCTTCTTCTCTGATTGGACAGGCCTTGACGGACATCCTCCAGCACCCGGAACGAGCACGCGATGCCCTGCGGGTTCTGCTGCACCTGGTAAGGGGCCGGGGGCCGGGCAGAAATGTTTTCACCGCTGTTACCCTCCCCCCACCCCACCCCACCCACACAACTTCCAGGCTCCGCCGGTGGCTGTTTCTCCCAGGTGGTTTCTCTGGCCTGTGGCCCGCCCTCCCTCACAGACGTGGGGAGGGGGGGGACATCCCTGCCGCCAGGCCCTGCTCCTTCCCCTCTGTGTTTCTCTCCCCCCCCCCCACAGGTGGAGAAGTCCCTGCAGCGCATCCACAGTGGGCAGCACAACTCCATGTACACCTCTCAGCAGAGCGTGGAGAACAAAGTCGGGGGGATCCCCGGCTGGCAGGCGCTGCTGACCGCCGTTGGTTTCCGTCTGGACCCCCCAGCCAGTGGGCTGCCGGCAGCCGTCTTCTTCCCCACCGCAGACCCAGGGGACCGGCTGCAGCGCTGCAGCACCACCCTGCAGGCCTTGCTGGGTGAGCGTGGAGGGGCACGGGGAAGACACTCCCCCCCCCCCCAAGGGTCCTGTCCTGGGCAGCGACTGAGCCGGTCCCTCTGCCTCCGCAGGTTTGCCCAATGCTGCCCTGCAGGCCCTCTGCAAGCTCACCACCGCCTCCGAAAGTGGGGAGCAGCTCATCGGCCAGGTGAGCCGCGGGAGGGGCCTTTGGGGGGGGGAGGGAGGGGCTGTCTCACCCCCCCTCCCCCGGGGCTTGGCTCTGTCGGGAGTCCTGAAGCTGCCCCCCCCCCCCCGGGCGGGCCCCCCCC